AAAAAAAAACATGTGCCTATTTTTCTTGTTTGATCGATAAACAAAAAGTGCAGACGCACATTCATTTCGCTGTTTGTTTTTTTGTTGCAAGTAAGTATAAGAAGTTTGTTTCTCGATAAATGACATGATTGAGAACTTCGATTAGATACTATCGTTGCAGAAATGGCCGCTTCAAAGAGTTGTTCAAAGTGCGACAAAGGAAAAGGAACTTTCTTTTGTATTGGGTGCGAAGCATACTTTTGTAAAAGAGATTATGAAGATCATCGAGCAAAGATGACTAATGAATTAGACGGGTTTACCGAAGATCGTAACAAACTTCAAGAGAAAATAAACATGATAACTCAGAACAACTACGTTCCTAGTGTTGTACTTATGGAAATCGATGATTGGGAGAGAACAACTATTGAAAAGGTGAAAACCGTCGCTGAACAAGCTCGACAACAGCTCATCAAATTACCAAAGTCAAAGAAAGTGGAAACAGAATCTCGATTTGAGAAATTTTGTCAAGATCTCATTTCACTAAAAGAAACTGGTGATTTCGTCGAGCACGATTTAAAATACCTCCAACAAACAGTCGATCAACTCAATCAAGATCTAAAACGATTAACTGAATCATTTGAACTCGAGTTATGCACAGAGCAGAGTAATCAGATAAAATGGGATACTCTCATTTATATTAAAGAAAAGCCTACTTACACCGAATGTCTTCAACCACAAGTAAATGGTAAGTTCATTATCAGAATTTTTTTTCACACATGGGTACTTAACGATGTTAATTTCTTTTACATTTGGAAAGATAATAGTTAGATCGAAAATTCCATAGTATCGTCCTATTCTTTTTCTAATAGAATTTGTTGCATGTTTGAGTCTATCTTGTCATCAAACATGGTAGATTATTTCTGAATCGAATGGCGAATGTAATCTGAATATGACGGACTTGTCATTTAGAGAAAAATCAAACTATGCTACAAGTGACACTCGATTGTCACGGTCATACTTGTCCAAAATGTAATAAGTGTTGTGATTGGAAGAATCGTGTGAAGCGTGGTGATGCCACTTGTTATCGTGCTGGTGTTGGCCCTGGTCATATGGGTTATTGTGATTGTGTCGGTCATTGTCATTGTGGCTATAATGGTTATAATTATCATCCTTATAGCGATGTGTGTTGTTGTATGGAGAATAAATAAGAGATTCTTGAAAGCTTTACTTTGGTCCTTATTTTAATTAAACATCAACACATTGTACTTGCTATTAGTAACGAAACTTTTTTGTAAACGCGATTCATCTTTAGTTTTCATGAAGAATAAAAAACATAGGACATAAAGACTGATTTAATATCATTTTTCTCCAATAGACTTTTTGTATGTTTTTATAGCAAAAATGAATATCGTCTACTGTTTTCGATCTTCAAAATAGTAAAATATGACAACAAAATACAGTAGATGATCAAGTTTATCATAATAGATATTCATTTAAAATGCAACCTATGATAGCGAATGAACTAATCATATCTGATTTCGATTAACTACAATTTATGAAAAGAAGTATCATGCAAAATATTTGCATGCCTTTTGATTGTGGATTTACGAATCAATCGACAGAATTCTCTTCATAGTGATCGATATAGATGACTAGGATCATAGTATGAAAATTCATTCACTGTGTAATCTTCGATTATCAAAACAATTTTTAGCTTCGCTTCGATTGAATGGAATAGATGGGTTGATTTATCATGAGAAATATTCATATGGAGCATGATCTGTGATTGATTGACTTGGCAACATTCGATTTGATCGAAGATGGATAAAATACACAAACAAGAATATCGTGAAAAAATTCAACTAAAAAGTGATATTTAAATGAGTAATTCACTTGCAAGTTTTAGCTAAAAATAAGCAAGTAGATGAATAGAATTATGATGAAAAATATTTCTTTATTGTATAAACCTAATTCAATAAATCAGTTTATTTCCGTTGTTTAAAAAAGAACAAAATATACGAATAAAATCATATGTGTTTTTGTGCAGAGAATAAATAAAAGACTCTTGAAAACTTTGCTCTAATGACTTTTTTTTTTGTATACGCGATTAATCTTTGGTTATCACAAAGAATAATAGACTTCCGTTTAACTGTTATGTAGTGCATAAGAACAAGAAAGGAAAAAAAAACAAAAATAGATAAAAGTGTGCAGATATTTCTTCTGAATTATTTCTACTGAGGTTGACACTTGAGAAGACATCTAAGAAGCATTGCATCTAAGCCACGACCTTATATTTGAGCATTTACGATAGAGTGAAGCCAACTGACGGTCGTATCTCTTCGGGATACGTGAAATCTGAATATTGACATTCCGAGACTCGTCCTCATCACTTCTACTGCCTATCAGTATAAAGTGATATTCAGTTCTCTTATGATCAGCGAATACTGACATCTGTTAAGATAGATTATAACTCGGCAATCCCTCTCCCTATTATCTGATATCGATTCGGTGACGGATGAGTCAATCTCTTTCCTGTATTTCCTTTTCTCTGTTGATTTATATAATAATTTTGTTTTCTGAAAATGGCTCATTACTTTTATTTTTAAGGCACTAATTATAATTGGCTCAGGTTCTAAAGATTTACTTTAATTTGTCCAGACAACTTGTAGATTTTTTGTTGTTATCAATTATTTCATCGAGTCAATTTTGAAGTATTATTTTTACCGTTAATTTGGGAGTGATAACGTTCAACGAAAATGGGAGCCGAAGTGTCCTCAATAGATTATCCCCGCATGCCCAATGCTATCCTCATTTTTGGTCTGACAACAGATATTCAAATGCTCGATAAACTACGACCAACAATTTCCAAATCGAAAGATGCAATGTCTGCAATTCAAAAGGCAGTCACCCAAGCGAAAAAATATGTTGACATCCTTTCTCCAGCTGTTGTCCGAGCCACAGACTACCTTCTAAAATTTTTTTGGAATTGGACAATTTAGTAGCTGAATCAGATGTACTTCACAAAGAATTGGCTAAACTAGAACAAAATATTTACATTACACTTCTCGAAGGGAAATTAAATGCGCTTAAAAATCAACTGGCAATTCTTCGAGATGTAAACACAGGAAGAGGACAAAAGATTTCCGAGTTGTCAGTGGCAATCAGCCATTTTCATGAAATTCTTCCCATCTTCAAACAAGAAAGTTCGATCCTTTACAAAAAGTACTATATTGGTGCTCAACTTTTCGTTCCCATTTGTGCCATATTCAAATCGGTAACAGTTATTGCAGAGAACACACCCGAATATAATAACCCTAGTCTGGGTCAGCTTAAACACCAATACATAGCTATATTGGAATGTTTTTGAGACAGATGCATTCGAGCAAGACTACAATCTATTCATATGAGATCAGTTGGTGGTTCTATGATGAACATGTATCCTGACGAATATTATGAGGATCAGTTACAATCACATTTTTCTGAGTATTTTCGATCGGCATCCAAGTGACTGCAGTTGCAATCTATACCATTCATTTACATTAGTTTTCCACATTATGGATGGAATTTAGGTTTTTTAAGTTTAACATAATTCTTATTTTTTTATTTAGACCTGAAGAGTTTACGCTGAAATGTGGTCGTGCGAAATCCATATTTTTGGAGAAGATGCCAATGTTGTTGGATGGATGAGATCTGAGACGCAAATCACAAATTAGCTTTTCTACTGTAACTCTCCACAAAGACGAAGGTCAATGCTTGTCAGAAGCTATGCTGTCTAGAAAGGCTGTATTGGTTTACCGAACAAATGTGAAGACAGTAATGGAAGAATTCTTCAATAACGTTCTTTAATATTATGAACTATTTATGAAATCATTGAAGCTTAAAATTAAATAATTAAGATTAAATTTATGAATGGAATGGTTTTGATAGATTCTTTTATTCATTTTCAGATTGGATTGCAAAATCCTAAATATATTCTTAAAAAAGCCAAGTTTTATTGTCAATTTGAGGGTATCAGAGGGTTAATTGAAAACAAACTAATCTTAGCTCTTGAGGAAAAGATAGGTTCAATTTGCTGTTCCCAACTCTTATTTTTCACCCTCACCCTCAAAAATAACGTGCGCAGGATGTGTATTTTGTCTTCACACTCAGCTTCATCTTCAATGTTGTCGTAAGTCCATTTATGGGTGTGGGTGAATGGGGTATGATACTCATGTCAACACCGAAAACCACACCTCACACCCACACTAAAAATATTGCAGATAGAGATATTTCATTTCTATGTGCTTCTTAGTTCGCCGCTAGAGTTTTAGTTTTCGAAGGCTTTATTCATATAGGATGTCCAAATGAGTCAATTGTGTCCTCAATCTACTGTTAGAGTTCCTAGGATACACTCATAATAAAACCGGAATGCTTTCAACTATTTGACGCGAATAATTCTTCGTAACTTTCATTACTAATCTAACCTTTCGAAAGCTTAAGCTTTTCAAGTTCAATTCGATTGGGAGATGCAGTGCTCGTAATGATAACGGACCTGTAAACTAAAGAGTACTTTATGGACGATGAAATAGCTGCTGTCTGATTCAGTTTTAGAATGTTTCCTTGCTTGATTCGATATAATTTAACAGCACTCGCTAGTGATTATCCGCATAAGGACTAGACTTTTAGTCTCTTATTAATTCCAGATCCTCTTTTCAACATTCCTTTACGCTTACATACTTTTTGGGTTTTGGTGTCCAGTGAATTAACGATTGGATTTTCTCATATCGTGGTTAACTTCAATTTTCGTATTCAATATCGACGAATAGCTAGCAGCCATTGCTTCTAATAAAAAAAGTTTGTTAGGGCAGCCCCTTTGGGGCCGAAATTCTCCGGTCTCATTAAACCAATACAAAATAGATAAAGTGAAATCTCTTGTAAACTATAGTTGTTTTGCAGGATAACCGAACATCAGAATAAGCACCTTTCTAATTTCTGCATTTCGAACAGAAATTTTTTATTTTTTCTACGGCCGTCCTATATGTTATTTGTATTATTGCTATTCGCTCTTTATTGTTCATTTTTTTAAAGTCATTTTTCTTATTTTAACATTCTTATTATTATAATCATTGAATTAATTGGCAAAATAAGTCCATTTTACATATCCATGATATTCGCAGCAGATCTTACACACTATTATACATATTAATGAACTCATAAACAATGATATCTATTATTTTTCAAAACTACAACTTGATCAATTTTGCAAAAAAACTCTAGAAAGTCTACTATCTATTATTCTCAATTGCTAAAGTCTGTAATGGAGAGGGGGGAGGGGAGTTGCGAAACTTTAACATAAAACTTACACTCACTATTTTCTTCGACAATATATGTGAGGGTGTGGGTGTAGGTGTGGTCTATTCTTCACCTACCCGCACACATCTCACACCCCCACTTCCACACACCCACCCCACACGGTAAAAATGCAGTATCTTGTCAACAATAAGCTATGGGCTCGAACTCTTTTCAGGGTATTCATAGCTCAATAGACACTATCTTGGGTGTGGGTGTGGGTATGGCTTTTGTCTTCTTCGACAACCACATCCACATTCACACCCATACCCACATCCACACACTGCTCGATATAGTCGTATTCAAGTAAGTGAACTACGGGGTGCATAAGTTGTTTGTTTGCCAAGAATAATTTGACTAAATCCATTATAGTTTCGAAAAGAAAATATGTCTCGAATAATGCCAGAAGAAAGAATCATGGGCTCTTCATCCTGCAAGATTCTATAGGAATCTTCATTCTCTTCGCGCAGATCTATCTAATAATGAGCAGTATGATATGAACTTTGTTTTAATTTTTATTGTATTCGACAGCTGAATGGTTAACCTAAAAAAAGGTAGAATTCAATCAAGTTTAAACTTCTAATCATGTTGGCATGTGCAATGATAAATGTAAATTAATTTTTAGAGAAACAAATAAAATGTCTAGCTCTTTTAACTTCCTTACACATACAGTTATTTGATGAAAAATCTAAATAGAGATGAAGAAAATCCAATTTTATATGAATGCTCTCGTTAATAAATGGAAATAAAAAACAAAGTAAAAAGAAAAGAATTGAAATTAGACTGGTGTGTGGGTGTAGCTGTGGCTCTGTGTGATGAGAAGACATCCTCATCCACATTCATCTACACCCACTCACACCCACCCTTGTGTAGTGTGTTTTTGCATTATTTCATTCGTTTGTCTTTTAGTATAATATTTGAAATATAATATCTCTATTTGAAAGATGCCATGGTACAAGCGTTTGCTGCACGTCTTTATCTAATAGAACATCCTCTACGGTAGACACATGAGAGCGTAGAAATCATGATGTATGCCTATACGCATCATACGAACTCAAGTAGCTTCTTTATTGGAAAAGATAAGAAAAAAACAAAAAAAACGAGTGAATATAATGTCACGCAAGTGATATAGAAATAATTAAAGCTAATCAATTCAAAAATTCATGCTGTTGATTAGTTTTGATCTTCAGTTAAGCTATCATCAATATCGCAAATCGCTTCAATTCGTCGGATCTTACCCGATGGAGAGAAAGTATACAACGCATTGTACACTTTGTTGCCATAAGAAACCAGAGCCCGTATGGTATTTTTTTCTGAATCGTCTACGAGATAATCGAGAATTTTCCAGTGAACCTTCGGGACTGCTTCCTGTGCCATCGTGTAATATTCCCGAGCATCTTGAGTTCCCTTGTAAAGAACTTTTGAATTTGATATTGTTTCGATATCAGCGTCGAGTAGATCGTCGAGCTTATGAATATGACGTTGGTTGACAGCCTCGACAAAACGTTCGAGTGTAGTCTGATGCGACGGAGTTGGTGTTGGCGACATGATAATGGAAGTGTTCACTTTCTTGCTGACACTATATATACGTCGCAAATTTCTTCTCTCTTTTTTCTTTCTCTTTCAAACTTTGTACTGTGTATCTACGCAGCGTTATGTGCGTGTTCGGAAGAGAAAACAGAACAGAAAAAGAAAAAGATGGCGAGTGACACCAACGACTATCGATATTGCTTGCTCTCCACATCATTTTCCTTCTTTTCTCTCGACTAAAGGGAGGGTTATATGAAAAAAATAGTTTGCTTGCTTGTCGTCCGGTCAAAGGTCAAAAAATAAGTAACGCTCGTCTATGTGACTCGCTTGACCCTCGACTGAATATTCAACTGTTTCGGTATTGTATACTGTTTCGCAGTCCTTAACACAGCTAGTATCAAAAATTTGAAAATGGTCCATGTGAATGTGAATATTGACATTTGCATCAATGTTCTTGTGTACAATGACATGCACATATCTGTGGTATGTTTTCTTATAAATTCATTCAACGAAACTAAGACGCTCTCAATGATATCCAACGGAAATCTAAATGAATAACACTATGGCAGCAGTATCTACATGTCCCGAGAAAAGAGACTACATTTAATGCACCGAGAGACAATCAACAAAGAAAGCACATCCACGGTACTAGCGTGAAAACGCATCATACTTCTTGAAAACAAATAAAATCTCGTATAGTTATCAGTACATCAACCGACAATATCATTTGCTAGTGTTTACTACAAAAATGCGAATATAGATGAACTTTTAGACTAAAATAAATTATATTTGATCAGACTTATTCTCGAAATACGTCACTTGAATGACGCTCGTACTCAAAGTAGTCATCGGATTAGACAGATAATTTCCAAGTACTCAAATAAATTTAGACGAGTACATGCCCACAGACACGGACACATACTGGTAGAAAAGCTTATTTGATTTCATTGAAATCTACTTTGAATAGACAGAACTGAATTCATTGCATGATGTTTTTCGTCAAATGTCCTATTCAAATACTGTGCACATGCAGTACAACTGTTCTCACATCTCATTCGAAAACATTTCTTAGTCTTTTTTGCCAGTTCTAGTTTCTATTGAACTTGTCAGATCTTGACTCTAGATATTTTTCTGATGGATTATAACAATCTGGAGTATTCCTTTAGAGAATTTCACAGAGCAGCAGCTAGTCACTCATCCACGCCTCTTTGAGGCGCCGTTAACGGCTAGCCGCTACTATGCTGAGTTCTACAATCCAAGATTTGAGATTGATGCAATCATACCAACACCTACATCGCACTCTCACATCTATAACAACATGAGTTCCACTAGAAAGATTTTTTCTCATTAAGTGATACTTGAAATACTCAAATTGACAGTAGTGAACATCGATAACGCATAGCACATGCTGTTTTACTTATGTTACAAAATTAATACTTTATGGTGAAAATTTCTATCAATAAAAATACTGAATTTCAGCCAGAGAGTATGAACATTTCTCGCAGAACTACAAGACACTCTACGATTGCATGATCAATTTTTGATACTTGATTATTGAACCTATGGGATTTCGAATAGCACTAATTGAGAAGGGTATAAATGTGGGTATTCCTGTTACTCTTGCATCCAGGGGTCGAAACGGGCCGGGCGGACCAACGTTTTTCTCGGGCCACCCGGCCCGGAGTAGGTTTTTCTTTAATGAAAATATATAAATATTAGAAAACCTGGAATTTATTAAAAAAATTATTATCCAAGATGCTTCTCTCGATTTTGAATTAGATAATAAAATGGACCAATAATCTGTTGGTAGACACAGCCCACGTCTACTCGTACGCTGTGGTACGCGTGACGTACGTAGAGGTGACGTCACGCGTACGGAGTGTTACGTTAATGGTACCGTAACGCGTACCGAGCGTTACATGTATCGCGTACCTCAGCATGTACAGAACGTACGTACTCTTTGTAATAAATTAATTTATTGGTTAGCTTCTATCCATTAAACGTTTATCGCTACAGATTGCTTTTATTTATGTCATAGACCACGAACATTCAAATATTTTTTCATCTTTATTTCAATATCTGAAGTTTTTCATTATACTAGTACTGAAAGATAGATAAAAATAAATTTCAAAAGATTAAAGATTTCATCAATCATATGCCAGAAAAAAAAATAACGAGAAGTTTTTCATGATCTTAGAAAAATATCGACATAAATACTGTTATTTTTAAATGTTGTTGTTTTCAATAGGATGATTATCCAAATGATTACCATTTACACTAAAAAGAAAAACATAATTAGCCATCAATTGATCAACAAGCATTTACCGTTCTCGTTTTCGAGTACGAGATTTTTGAGCTCGACGTTGACCTTGAAGTGAAAGATGAGCTTCTGTTCCCCAAAAGAGATTAAATTTGACTTGTTCATCTGGATAATAAGCTATTCTAACAGCTTCTAAAAAATAAGCAAAAAAAATTTAGGTTCAGATAAAGCAGAAATAAGTATTTACTCTTAATAGCTGTCATACGATCATCGTGCACCACTCTCTCCTCTATTTCTTCAGTTGTGTACAATCGACGAACCAATTTACATAAAAACATTGTTGGTGTATAATTCATATCAAAATCTTCAAACAAATTTTGACCCTTGTAATCCTATTATATAGTTTTAATTTCATTGAAAAAAAAACAAGAATTGCAGACTTACAACAGGTGAAAATTGTTCAGGTGATGGAATAGTTGTTACAGCAGCCTAGAATTGATTTTAGACAACTCAAAACCTATATATTTTATATGAAAATGAGAGCTTATTGAGCTCTCTATCAAACAATATTATTTTGAATAAGATGCACACTGCTCTGTGAGATATTTAAAAAAAAATGTGTGTTTCCTTTCGCAAACCAGACTCGACAAATTAACTTTATTTAAAAGAGATTCTCTTTTATTCATTCTCCTGTATGCTACATGGATTATTTTAATGCTAAGTGAAAGCCTTCGTTTTAATGAACAACTATATACACGTGATGCTCGAAAAAGTCGAAAGCGGATAATAAAGAAAGTCAAAGAAAATTTTTTGACTAAAAAAAATATGGCTAAAGTTCCTGATGAGTTTTCCGTGGCCTTTTATTCTAAGACTTGTTGGCCATCTAAAAACCATTTTCAATTAAGTTCTTTTATACATTTTTACACTACACACTTTACTCTTTCTAATAAAAAGAAAGTCAAGTCTCTAAGACGTTGCGTTGCAGAATTATATAAAAAACAAAATTAATACAAAACTTCTGCGCCACCTATTAGAATTAAACTTCCTTTTTACACAAAATGTTTTCAACTCAGCAGTGCATCAACACTAAATCGGTTATTTCAATGATAATTTTTTTCAGAGTGCTAGTTTTCTATATGTGATATTTTACTTTTTGCGATTTTGTAGCTCGAAATATTTCGTTTGAGATTTTTCCAGTTTTTTTTTATCGGGATTTTGTGCTTCGATATTTTTTTGTCCGGAATTTTTTTAATTTTGCCTCTGGAACTTATGCCTTTCGAGCAATTAGCACTGCCCCGCCATCTCATTTATTTCGTATGATTTATTGACATATTAAAAAAATCTTAAACAGGAATAAAATAAAAGTAAATTAATATATAGATATGAACCACATTTTGACTATTGCTATCATTCATGAGTTTGGTTTCATTGTAAAAAAAAAAGCATAGTAAAGCTTACACTGAATCCAATGCATAAGGCAGAAAAATACCTGTTGACGGATTGTAGAAGACCATATGTTATGGATTTTATTATGGAAAAGAATAAAAAAAAAGAACTCTAAGTAAACTTTGTTTTACTCACCAGTTTTTGTCCTTGAGCAAGTTTATAAACAAGTTTTTCCGTTTTATGTTGATTTTTCAGTATTTTTTTTCGTTTTTTCACCATTACTTTCGGTCAACACTGTTAACTGTTCAGTTAAATAGTCGAGCTTTTCAAGAATTAGAGCCTCTCCCGTAGAAATGTCATTGTGTTTTCGTTTAATCGAAGGTGACACAATTGGACGTATACACTCAAATCAAATTTTCTGATTTTTACAAAGTACAAGAGCTTACTATCAGAAAAACGTGTACCAGTCAGATGATGACGAGAATTATATTCTTGTTGTGTTGATGAACGTTGAGAAATGGTTGAACCAATATTTTGAGAACCTAACAAAGTTCAAATTGATGAAGATATTCAATAATGCATTGATACAAAGCAAGGTAGTGAGTAGAACTATTTGATTACAAACACATGAAATCTACTGCAGGTCAAACAAATGGCGAAACTCAACTCTAAAACTCTTAAAATCTTGTGTATTCATATATGTATAGATTTGAAAGGAAAAACTATCTAATCCTTCGAATTGTTTCGCAAAGAATCAAAAAACAAAAGTAAATCCTAAACTCGTTCACAGACTCATTCGATTAAATTTTCTTTTATTAGTCTTTCTAATGCGCTGGAAACACAAGACCGACTTACAGGTTGATTACGTTATTTTTAATAGTTTTGTATAGTTTGCTGCATTTATGTAAAACGTCGAAAGTTTCTTATTTTAACACAGTTGGATAGAGCATCGACTGCTCTACCGAACCATATAGTTTACACTTAATTTCCTTTTGTTCTAGCCCAAAAAGATTGATAAATCTTAAAAGTACCAAAAAAATTTTTTTGCACTTTTCTGATTTCAGATACGCATGGAGAATAAATGTCTGCATGTTTCATTTTATTTTTGTATCACCTCATACATTTTATTAAAAAACAGGATAAACCAGAAGATGCAGCGTGAAAAGCTCTACAATTTACATAAGACAACGTGTTTTATAGTTTTTGTTTTTGTTTTCAAACTGAACAAAAACTTTTGAACCACCACAGTTTGCTCGTGCGAAAATTGGTCCCACGACATTTTTAAAATTTTTTTAAACGATTACAGTAAGCTTCACTGCGTAAGTTTTATAGAGCTTTTCACGTTGCACCTTTTGGTATAGTTTACTTTTTTTTACGAAGACATATTAGGTGATAAAAATATGAAATTAGAAATCGAATCTCTTATTCATGCAAAAAAAGTGATTTTTCTTGCAACGACGAAAACTGGTCGTGCAGAATTTTCCTTTTTTCGAAAACAAAAAGTGTACAATTAAAATAAGCTTTACCTTGTAGATTGAAGAGCTTTTCACGCTGCATCTTGTGCTATATTATGTTTTCTAATAAAACGTATTAGATGATACAAAAATAAAATGCAAAAAAGACCACTTATCCTACTCCACCCGTTATCTGAAATCAGAAAAGTGCAAAAAATTTTTTTTGGTACTTTTAAGATTTATCAATCTTTTTGGACTAGAACAAAAGGAAATTAAGTGTAAACTATATGGTTCGGTAGAGCAGTCGATGCTCTATCCAACTGTGTTAAAATAAGAAACTTTCGACGTTTTACATAAATACAGCAAACTATACAAAACTATTAAAAATAACGTAATCAACCTGTATATCATTACAACTATTGTTTACTTTGGAAAGAAAATCTGATCTTTTTTTTTAAACTGTCGATGTTCGCACTGTTAATTTCAAGGATTTGACCATTTTTTTGTAAAACAGCGCTTATTCTTTGTAAGACTCATCGTTTTTCGTGAAACAAAAACAAACAATTAATTTTCAGGTAAAAATTTTTTTACTCATTTGCAAAGTAGTAGCTTCTTCAAAAATGTTCTTAATGAAATAGGAAAAGATATAAAAAAAAACTTACAATCGTCGTCATCACACTCATCATCATAAACAGTATCATTAGTTGTTACTCGAGAACGATAGGTGGAGGGTATGGGTGTGGGTGTGGGGTGGGTGTGGGTGTGGGGTGGGTGTGGGTGTGGGGTGGGTGTGGGTGTGGGGTGTGGGGTGGGTGTGGGTGTGGGTGTGGGTCAATAAGAGGAGTGACACCTACACCCACACCCACACTACATCCACACCCACACCCACACTACATCCACACCCACACTACATCCACACCCACACCCACACTACATCCACACCCACACCCACACTACATCCACACCCACACTACATCCACACCCACACCCACACTACATCCACACCCACACTACATCCACATCCACACCACACCCACGCCCACCCTCATCCACAGGATCACACATCACTACAGACAGAATAAAACGCGTCTTGCTGGCTATTGACTGAATTTATTTCAATCTATTCTATATACACACCCACACCCACACCCATTTTCGACATTGTTCACGCTTAGTAGAAGAGTTATATCTTTGTAACATCCTTCAATCTTAAGCAATTGATAAGTGATTACTTTAGCGGTAATCGAAACCGGTCTTGCTAGCTTTTGATTGACTTTCTATAAGTCATTTCTATCAACACACCCACACCCTATAAATCTCTTCATCCTGATAATAGTGTAATATGAGGTTCAGTAGGTTATATTTGTGTGTGATCGAGTTTGCCCATCTCTCTAAATGGTTTCCAGAAATTCGATCAAAATTAGTCATGATTTTAACCCTACTGAGCTAGTATCATTAAACAGAAAAATAAAAGAAAAATCCAAACTCACAAAGTGAAGTGGAGGATGTGACCAATGGAAGCATAGAATGACTTATAAGCAAATGTTGTTCAAGAATGTATTTTAAATAACTCAAACGGTGTAGCAACACTTTGTATCTTCGTATTAAATTTTTTCTTTCCGTCATAAGCGTCTACTCTTGCGATATTCATATGCATTTGCATAAATTTGTTCCAATAAGAAACTCTTCATTTTATATCAAAAATACGATTCTCAAGTATTTTGCTGGTAGATTGGATTCTTTTTTTGAAATATCTTGCAGACTGAAAAAATCGTATATGGAACAATATACAAGCGCGCAGTTTGTGACTCATTATTTTGATACTTTTATAAGGTTAATAAGGACAACAACAAAAAAATAACAGCACACTTCTGGCATATGTTGTCATCGCTAATGATTCCATCATCGTTACTCTGATTGTAAGTGGACAGCAACCACTTGTCCAATTTTGGCATAACCTTTAGCATTCGGGTGGGCTGCATTTTTCTGACTTAAGAAGCTATCGACATATGGATCAGCTGAAAACATTTCATGACCGAGAAATGCCAATTTGACAGCACCGATAAAACCAATTTTAGCTTCTGCAGCAGCATCTTGGATAGTGCTCGTTAATACATCCATCATTCGATGACAATCGGCTTCGTTCGGAATTTTGTTGCCAACACTTATGAAATCAACGTAGGGAACAGCATAGATTTTGGTTTGAGGACGAACGGCAGCTTGAATGAGTTTGTAAGTAGAGACGAGTCGAGGTTTGAGATTGGTAGCTTTTTGAATAACAGCCGTGAAATTGTTTTTCAAGATAATCTGTATAAGGGAGTCAGCTACTCCAAGATCATTGCCACCAATTGTGAATACAACATGAGTTGCATTAGATAACGAAGATGCAGCAGCAGCTAACTGAGCAGGTATTTGACTCATTTTAGCTCCACCTTTTGCGAAGTTGCGTGCTTGCCAATTTAGCAGACCACCAGCAATAATCGGATATGATTTTGATAGACCACCTGCATCACCAGCAGATGTAAACGAATCGCCAAGTCCAACAAGCAATTCTCCAGCTATAATTAGACGCAAACGAAAGCTTTGGTGTACAGATATATAGGCGAGTTTTTAGAGTGCTTGGCTTCAACACATAAAGAGCATAATTCTCAAAATTCCTTCCAATGCTAGAAAGTCAAAAGAGAAAATCTGTCTCATCGAATTGAAAACGATGTACTTTTTTTATTATGAAAACGTGTTCTGATTCGCAGGAAAAATTTTGCCCGCAAACCGAGTCAAATATCGCTTAGGTTAATAAATACGGAGAGTGAAAAATAAAATAAAATAAAACAAAACAGGTTGATGTACTATAGAATACTCGAACTAGAATTCCGTACGAACTTCGAGCTGGTCCTCATACTGATCAATGCAGTTTTTACGGAGAATATTTTCAAGAGGACTCCTTTTTGATACCATCGGCTGATTTACTATCGACGCCAGCTTGAAAACATTTCCACAATAACAATCAAGTTGCAGTTTATCATGAAAACTCAATCAAACATTTTTCTTTTCACCAACATATTTTCTAATTCAAGCTTTACAAGAACTGATACCAGCTGAGATTGTGATCGGTACTTTCAATACCTTCGAAAGAGTTTTTCATGCAGACGGGTAACCCCATTTTCAATGGTCTTATTGCCTTCAAAACTTCGGCACTTTTTAACACTTTTCGCCAATAATCGATAG